TTGACATTTGGGCTGTGTACAACTCCACTGCAACAAAAGAACACAAACAACGCTTCAAATTTGTCCTTCCCTTTTCGGTTTACAAACTCTCATTTCATGTGATCCTGATGCTGCTGCAGGGCTGGCATTATTAGTTTCACTTAAAAAAGTATAGCTGTGATAAGGAAACCTGGGCTGCTGCCGCTTCCTCCTTCTCCTCTCCCTTCTTCTTGTCAAAGGATAGTAACAAAAGAACTCACACCCAGTTTGAAAATGGAGAAATCCTTTCTCAATAAAAAAAATTATCTCCATGGATTAATGATTGTACATTGAGCGTTGACCCCCCTATACTGAATTTTATTGTTGTTAACAACCATTTGATCAATAAATATGAGAGATGCCCTCTCAAAAAAAAAAAAAAAATTATCTCCAAATATGAGACAGAAATATAAAGTGTCTTCAACAAAACTAGAAGACCCTTGTAACCCTCAGCCACAATGTATGAGAGTTGATAACTGTGGCAGAGGTCAAACAGGAAGATGTCTGGAGAGGGTGCTTACAGCTCCAGATCTCAAAGTCGTTAGACCAAAAGACAACAAAACAGATGGCATAATCTGAGGTGCAAAACCAAGTCCTTGTCTGAAACAGTGGAAACAGGGTGAGTGCCAGTAGTAGGGGATTTTCTGGATACTACCTGGTGTCACAGAGTAACAGGAGAGGCAAAGCCCAAGGAGGACACATGCAGACACATCACTTACAGGAAGCAGTGTGTACATGGGACACAGCGGAGCAAAGAGACGCCAGAGGTGAATAGCTCCGCGGTTGCCTATCTTGTTGGCTGGAGAGAATAAAAGCTCGAACAGCTCTCTCACACCCACAGTCCTGTCACAAACAGCTTCATTATAAACCCAGGAAGAACTGTTATAATGCTGTCCTGCCCTCCCCACCATAGGAATTTATATCAAGCCAAAAAGAAACTTACCTCACTTGATTAGTAATAATGAGAATGAACCTGCACAGTGCTCATGCCCACATGCTCAGTGCACATGCTCTTGATCCTTGGAGGAGGAAAGGAATGAGAAACAACAGCAGATAAAACCATTTCACAGAAGAAAAAATGAATCCACTGAGCACATGAAATGTGTGATCAAATATACTGCCATAACTCCAAGAACTTAAGGAACTCAAAAATACATCCAGAGATATGGGTAATCAAAAAACACATGGCAACACAACCAAAGGAAATACAATATGAGCTGAGTTCAGGGAAGAAATGGATAAGAAAAATAAAGGCATCCCAGAAGTAAGGCCACGCCAGCAGGAACAGAGAGGACATGAGCTACCCTGAGAGAAGGCCAAGGGGAGATAAGGCGGAAGGATTCCTTCACCTTGATTAACCAGGGGTTCAAAATATACCGTTTACATTGTCAAGTATACGATAAAGGCATAAAAATATATAGGTATAAACACAATAACCAAAGAAATAATAAAATCAACTGAATCTCTGCAGCAGAGGAAAGGCAGAAGGAAGTATACTAATTGGACCTGCTCAGAGCAAGCACTCATTAGCATCTAAGAGATGAAGTACGTAATTCAAAGTTATCCTCAAGAAGAAAACCACTAGCAAATCAAGGAAACTACAGCAAACACGGATAATATAATGCAAGTATATTGTTGATTACCTGTCTGATGTTTTCTCTCCCCCAGCCCCTCCTTCCTATCAGAACCCTACTTTGGGTCATGTATCTATCATCTCTTCACACAGTCATGAGCTTTAGGGCAGTGGTTCTTAACTGGGGGTGATTCTGCCCCCTTAGGGGGCATTTGGTGATGTCTGGAGACATTTTTGACTCTCACTTTTTGGGGGGTGCTACCAGCATTTAGGGTAGAGGCCACAGTGAAGAGATGTGCTCCAGGCCAAAGCCTGTGTGTGATCCTTAGGGCTTTACCACAGCAATGGCAAAGGCTGGGGGCCGCAGGCTTCATGGACAGCTGCCGTCCTTGTGGTCCTCAAGGGAGTTACAGACTCACCCCGGGGCCAGGGTGCTCACATGCATATCTGCATTCCTAACCCAGACACCTCTGTGCACAGGCCTCCTTATCAGGGCACCTTGGCTGACATTTTTCAGGAGTCTCCACTGAGACTTCTTTATGGGGAGGAGGCCTTGACCATGACACTCTTCTCCACTGTGACTGTGTTCCCCACTCCTAACCCTTCCCCCCCAGTGCCCTAGGTTCACAAAAGGGCAGGAACCTTTCATTCAGTGCTCCTCAGCAATGAGCTGATTTCCTCCACCTGCACTGCCCTTTGACCCTTGCTCAAGGCCATTCCATGGGGGAAAAAAACACAGAACAATGAGGAGCTAACACTACTTTCCTTTTTGCCTCTTGCTTGCTTATATTATTACAGTGAGTAAAGACATGGCTGTTATGTTCATGTTGGCTCACTGGCCTAATTGACAACCTTAACCCTTGCAGCTTGGCACAAGGACACTGCTACACATCGTCCAATTCTCAGAACAGCCTCACACAACGAAGAATTACCTTGCCCAAAATACCAACAGCATGAGGCTTTTGAGGGAGCCTGACCCCATCACCAGCTCTATGGCCAGTAAGTCTGTGGAATTCTCCTGGAGAATGTTATTCATCCAGGAGTGGAGAGATGGCCAAGTAAGTTGGCCCAATCACAATGAAGTGAAAGATGTACTATTCCATGGTTAAGGGAGAATTTTCTTCAATTTTTGTTGTGCTGGATATGAACAAGGAAATGTGCAGCCTTGACTGTCACTGGTAGTCACCTTGTGAACATGCTGGAGAAAACTTTGGGATAAAGCTTATATTATGCTGGAGGAGACAGGGAGAGGACCTGGGTTCTTGATGACATGATTGACAGAGCTGTGGCCAAAGGCCACCGCACCTCTGGGCCTTTAGAAATAAACAACTTCCTATGATATGATATGCTAGTTTGAATTTGAGTTTTTCTTACTTGCATTGAAAATTATTCTTTTTACAAAAAGATAAGAAAAAGAAACTAAAAAAGCAATAAAGATAGAAAGCATGACCTTAAAAGCCAAGATACATTGGATATAAATAAATATAGGCTACATTAATATTTAAGAGGGATCCTAAAATTGAATCATAAAACAGAAAACACTATATACTATATAAAATAAAATACCTAAACAAAGTGACACAAATATAAAAATAAATGGATGGATAAAGATGTGTGAGGCAAATACAAGCTGAAATAAAACATAGGTAATAATCTTAATGACCGACATTTAAAATCACAGGACAACAGCATCCAAGAGAAAAAAAAAGGCATTGTTATGATAAAGGTAAAACCACAATGAAAATCTAACAGTCATGAATTTATATGCAACAGAAAACATAGCTAATAATATACAGAAAAAAGTGAAGTAAAAACTAGAGGTAATAAAAGGAGAAACTAACAAAAATTCCTAAGTGGAAAGGTTCATTTACCTCTTTCTCAAGTCATGACTAAGAATCTGGTTGTTATCAGGAAAAGGTTATAGAAAATCTAAATAGTATGTTTAACCAATATATAATTTATATATAAAATTATATATTTTAAAAGAATGTATTTTATATAGTTTTCCATTCTCTGAAAAAAAAAAAGAGACTAGATCTTCCATAATTGTGTGAGGCTGTTCTGAGAAAACTTTACATGGCAATAGTTTGGTACGCATGATTCTGGACAGAAGGAGAGCTGCTTCTACATGGACTCATGACAAGTGACCCCTTCACAAGTGTAAAAATTGCTCTCATGGGCAAAGAATGCTGCTGGTGACAGCTCCAGGTACAGGGAAAGAGAACTACAGAAGGGCCAGAGAGGGAACTGCTGGGCCACCACAGAAGAGATCCCAGCCCAACCAAGAATACAGGCAGTTTACACTGTCCAGATAAGGTAAGGGTAAAATGATGTACAATTAATGAACACTGTATGTAAAGCAAACTTTAATTAGCACACAAGGAAAGACCAAGAACTGTCTTCCAAAGTATGAACACAAGACAAAAGAAAATCTTAGCTCAGATTGGTGTGGAACTAGGTAATGGTGGAATCTGAACCTGGAGGGAAATCTGGGTGACCCTGATCAAAACACTTCTCTGTTATCTAAAGAGTTTTAATCTGTTATTTCTTGAAGAAGAACTATACTTTAACTTTCTTCTCATAACTGCCATCGATTGCCCTTTTTCTCTATGAATACACGAAACACACTGCCACAATTCACTGACCTTTTATTGTCTTCTTTCTGCCTCCATTTCCTGTTCAAGGCAAACATGAGAGATAAGGTGTTCAGAACACTTTCCTCCTTAACCCAAGATTGGTATAATATACCAAAGACATCTGTTAGCAGTTGAGAAAGAACTATGAGAATTCATTAGAAACAGAGAAGCAGGTTCTGCCAGAACTAGACTTCAAGGGCTATGTCAAGTCTGAGTTCAGATGTAGGGTTTTTAGGGGTGAGAAGACCAAATAAATGCACTGTGAAGACTAACATCCAGGATAACTTAGCAGTTTCTCAAGCTGGGCTTTCTCATCTCTTCGATTTGACTTGGCTGCAAATCAATTTAAAATGAAACAAATCTACAACTTCCAGGGATAGAATCAAGTGACAAGCAGATTTGTCAGTCAAACATCCACTAAATAGTGATAACTATAATTCCTTGCTCTGATATAGAAGACTTTTATTTTGGAAAATGATTCTAAGATTCTTGAAAATAAGACTTGTATTTAGTCTATACAGCAATATTATTGAGTTTAGTGATGACAATGAAATCATAGTTTTTGTATAACAATGGAAAATGTGAGTTATATTGAATCTAGTTAATTTCTAGGAAATTAATGTATTACAATGTATGCCAGTAATGAACTATTTTTAGTATCTTAGATAAATTGTTTAGCATTCAGGTGGTTTCCCTCATTCTTTCTACTTTGACAGCTAAAGGGAAGGGGATAAAAAATAGAAATAAAAAATAATTTGCCATTTAAATCACTCTCTGATTCTGGAAATAAAGTATTTTAATTCAGTTCCACTTAAAAAATAAAAGTAGTTTCTTACTCCCACAATGAGCACATTAACCACATTCTCACATACAGAAAGCTTAGGTACATTCAACTGTTTACAAGATATGTCTCCATATAATACATTTACATTCACATAAGTATATGAATTTATATAATTATGTAGTATTTGTGACTTTTGCATCTGGTACCTTTAACCAACACATAATATGCTTATTTTCTAAAAGCTAGTTCATATATGATTTAAGGTTGGGAGAGTCTTTTTTGAAGAATTTTAACAGTTGTATACATATGAGAACTCAATAATTTTTCTAAATATAAGCTTTAAGCTAAAGTTCTAACAATTTATCTGACTGGCAATGCATGGAATTCTTATCAGGTTGTACTATATATTTTACAGTTCATTTCAAGGGTTTATAATTATCTATGTATCAGGGGGAAAAAAGCACCAGGGATAATATTTTTTGACATCACAGATGAAATCACAACACAATGATCTCAGTTCCTTTTAAAATCGAATCATTTGGAAAGATCATTTATTCCAAATGCTCAATCTTTAAGCTTTCTTAGTGAGATCAACTGATATACTAGAGATAAGAATAGAAATGGTTAAAACAGGTGCTATACATAATACCTGCCAACTACAGAATTCAGACAGTTTTCTTACATTATGATTTACATTTTTGAACTGAGTCCATTAGATCTAAATCTGAAAATAAGTGTAACATTTACAAACCTGTCAACTATATTTCTTAAAAGAAACTCTAAAGAGGTCTTTCTGGCCAATATATGAAGCAAAATTTTCCTGATGAACAAAAGCACCTTATGGTAAGGAAATATATAAAGAAAATATATTCTACAAATTAATATACAAATTTATGTGCATAAAGGTATAGTTATCCCAGCTGTATATGTAATATCTTAAATAACAGAATAAAAAAATTTAAAGCACAGATTGAAAAAATAACCTATATGCTAATACTCCAGTTATTAAATATTGCAGCATATATGTAATTGTAACAATTGAGGGGAAAAGTTTCCAATTCAAATGGACCATGAAATCTCTTTGGAAATAATGCTTTTAGAAAGTCCACAGTGTGTACTTGTGACCGTCAAATTTCAGCCAAGATGCAATCCTGTAAAAACAAAAGTGTGCACAGAGGCTGACTCATGGATTCTTTAGTAAACAGCATTACTGGTGTGACATTGGTACAGGCTAGCTGGGCTTTATATTCCTTTACTTTACCATAGGCACGTGGTAAACATAGTATTAAGAATGATAGATCTTTATCACTAAGTTTTGCTACTTATAAAATGCTAATAAACATCACTTTAAACATTCCCAGACCATGACAATAGTTCCTTAACTGAATATAAACAAAGAACTCTCTAGATTTAACATATTTTAAAATGAATACAGAGATGAATAAGGAGAAACATAAATTATTTGCTTTGACATTTTTCAGTCAGGGTTAATTATGTGTCTTTTTCTATTGAACATGTGATTTTTATAAGTATGAGGACTTCCAACTTCTGCTGATATTTCATTTCTTTTTCCCAGTGGGTTTTTTGTGTTCATGCATTTCTGTTTTGCTAGTTATATTCTTTTTCCGAGATGAGGTATTAGGAACAACTGTATTAGAAGGTCCACTGGTAGCTATACAAAAAAAGAAAAACTAGTGCTTAGATTTTCACAAGCAATCCAAGTTCAAATAACACTGATGCATGATAAAATAATCACATTGTAACTATGATGCAAACAAAACATTGTAACATTTAACAGAGTATTTTTAACTGTTTAACTTTTTAGAATTCAACACCAATACAGAAAAGTGATGTTAATGGGCATGTTCACAAAACAAATTTCTCTTTTCACTCTATAATCTTTATAGGAAACTAACTTATTCCATCTTTATTTTTAAACTACCATCTATTCTACTAATAATCTTCAAATTTATACTTCTGGCCCAGGTCTTTTCCCTTATATCAAGATCTGTATATCCTTCTAGACATCTCTATATAAGTATCTCAAGGGAAACATAAACTTAACATGTTTAAAACCAAACTCATCATTTTCCCTATAAACATCTATTTTTCCTCTATCTCCTATCTCACCACTATCTAAAAAACTAAAAGTTAAGAAAACTAGAGACATTCTTGACTTAGGACTCATTCTTCTACATCTAAATTAACATTAAGTCCTAATGAGTTATTCAAAAGTTATTTCAAGCCAAGTTACACTTCTGGTATGGATGGGTAAACTCCTGCCAGACCAATCCTCTGAGAATGAAAAAAAGCAGACACATACTGGAAAAGAATCAAAACTTGGAAGAAGGGAACACTATGCAATGAGTCGATCCTTCCTGCCGTTGTAAAGCTTTTGTCCTAAGGCCAGCATCCAGTGTGTACCATGTAGAATGACTGAAACTCCAACATAAAACTCGGTCTTACTAGCATGAAGGAAAGTATTTAGGCAACTAATGTTGGTAGAGTCAGGTGGAAAATCCTAGAAAGGGAGAGCCCCCAGTTCTTTGTGTAAACCGTGACCAAATGTATGGCATGAGCAGCATATGCTACAAGAAGTCCAAACAAATGAAGTGAAATCTGAGCTTCCAGACACTTCAAGGGACACAGCTTTGCAATGTGAGTTCAGCCAAGGTTAACTATCTGCTCTAAAAACAAAACAGAACAACTCAACACACTTCGGAGGAATATAACAGAAGTAAGAATCCAGAGTTTGTACAATATATCATTCATAATGTTTAAGAAACAATCGAAAATTACTCAGTATATGAAAAAACAGGAAAACATCTTTCTTCTTGAGAATGGGTAAGTTGATAAGACAAATCCTGAGATAAACCAGATTAATACACAAGAATTTTTAACTATAAATTGATAGAGACAAATCCTAAAGTAAGCCAGATTACCAGACAAGAATTTTAATGAAACTATTTTAACTATGCTCAAGAACAAAGGAAAATATCTTCATAATGAATAAAATATAGGTAAACTCCAAAGAAAAAAAACTATAAAGAAAAAAATGTCTAAAACTAAAGAATAAATATCTGACATAAAATTCATTAGACGGGTTTAACAGCAGAATAGAGATGACAGGTAAAGTGAATATCACTCAGGATTATTACCTCCCCCATCCCAAAAGAAAATCCAGGCATGTCACAAACTGCTGAGAACCAAAGATAAAAAGAAAACATCAAAAGTAGAGAAAAAGAATCCATTAAACCACTGCTTTACATGAGAACAACAATTCAAATTAACCAAGACTTTTAATCAGAAATGATGGGAACTAGAAGACAGTGGAATAACATCTTTCAAATGCTAATAGAGAAAACTTTCTTCCCAGAATTCGCTCTCCAACAAAACTACCTTTCAAAAATGAAGTTGAAATAAAGACTTTTTTAGATACAGTAACAGAACTGCATATAAGAAAAGCTAATATGTTTCAGGTTGAAAGCAAATGAAACCATATGGAAACAAAGACTTAGAAGAAAGAATGAAGAACATCAAAAATGGCAACTACGTGGATAAATAGTTTTCTCTTAAATTCTTTAAAAATACATAGTGATGCCAGGGTTCTTGTTCATGAAGCCGAAGAATGAGCTTCACAAACAGTCAAGGTAGGAGAGCAAGGTACAGGCTTTTATTTAGAGATAAAGTGAAAGGACAGAGCTCCTGGCTCACGCCAGCAGGGGACAAGAGAGCCTGTAGTGGTGCGTTGTCTGGGGGGTTTTATAGGCAGATGAGGATTTTCGAGAACATGAAAAAGAGCGTAGGGGTGTGGACTTAAGTGGTCCCTGAATATTTAGAATTAACTTAACCCAAGCCACTTCCTGCTCTGATGATTTCTCCCTGAGATACCAGCATCTTGGTCTGGCAGCATATGAAACAAGGCCACCTGCTTCAGCCCCCAAGGTGGGCTGAGGTATTGTTTGCTAAAGAGTAAGTTAAGAATTTTTAACATCTTAACTTCTTGGGTATTAAAATGCAATCTTGTCTTTAAGGTGGAGTCCTTCTGGCCTTTTACTGTGTTGTTTATGCCTGGGCTTACTTGCTAAATTAGTTTGCCCAGTTTACAAAATCATTTCATCAGATATGAAGGAGTTAAGACAGCACATAGGCCTTTAGCATGCTAAGGTGAATCTTACATATGATTATAAACGATTAGCTTAATAAAAACATGTGCTACTCTTCTTTATCTGGGGAATATTAACTGATCTCATTGAAGAATGACTCTAGAGCTGAGTGTTTAACACAGAGTTTTGGTAGGGGGTTTCCTTGCATGTAGTTACATTGGTCTGACTGCAAATATCCTGCCTTGTTTTTTCCAGAGCCCCTCACCCTACTCTGACTACACCCACGGTCCCTGTCTCAATAGGACTGTTTAAAGCAAGTATCATAACATTGTACTGTAGCCTTTATATATGTGGAAGTAACATATATGGGTAACTATGTATAAAAGATAGGAGGAGGGGAAGGTAAATGAGCCTAAATAGTTGCAAGGTTTCTACATTTTCCTTTAAGTGGTGCAAAATTAACTCTAAGCAGACCAGAGATAAAAAGTTAGAGATGTATATTTATAGCTCCACAATAAATGAATAATGCAAAAAGGTACAGCTAAAAAGCCAATAGGTAAGTTAAAATGAAATTCTAAAAAATACTGAATTGATACATTGAAACAAGGCAGGAAAAAATAAAGGAATAATAATCAGAAGAAATAAACAGAAAATAGAATAGTAGACATAACCTAACCAAAGCAATTATTACATTAAATGTAATGAACTATAAACACTGCAACTATAAGACAAATATTGTTAGAATGACTTTTTTAAAATGCCAAATATACGCTGTCTGCAAAAAAAAAATCTCCTTAACTATAAAGGCACAGATTGGTTGAAAAAATACACCATTCACACAGTAAGTACAAGAAAACTGAAGTAGCTAAGTTCACATCACATAAAATAAGCTTTAAGACAAAGCTAGAAATCAAAGAGGGAAATTTCATGATGATAAATGGGTCAGTACATTAGGAAGTTATAATTAATAAATATATATGCATGTAGTAACAGGGCTTTAAAACACACAGAGTAAAAATTGACCAAATTAAAGGAGAAATAGACAATTCCACAGCTCTGAGTGGAAATTGCTAAGCAATTGATAGAATGATCAGACCTCCCCTACATGTGTCCTCACCTCCCCAAAACGGTAAAGACACAGAAAACTGAGTAACATTACCAACAATCCTGACCTAAAGGATACTGATGAACACTACATTAATGGACTGTGGAATAAAAGTTCTTTTTTAGAGCACTTGGTATACTTAAGATGTCCCTAGTCCAAATGTTAAGCCATATAAAGCCCCACATTTAAAAGACTGAACTTGTATATGAATGTTCTGTAATTGCAATGGAATTAAGAAGTTGGTAACAAGAGATACACTTCTCCTTATATTTGAAAATTAACGAATATGTGCCTAAGTACTCCATGACTCAAAAAAGAAATCATAAAGTAAATCAAAAAATACTTTTAACCTTATGGGAATGAAAATACACTGTAACTTTCATGAGATGTAGCTAAACAGGGAAACTTCCAGCTTTAAGTACTTAAATGATGAGAAGTAATGTCTAACAATCAGTGATTTAAGAAACTGGAAATAGGCAAAAAGTAAGCCTAAAGTAAGTGGAAGGGAGAAAATAATACAGAGCAGAGATCAATGGAATTTAAAACAGAAAAACAAGGAGCCAAAATCAGTTCTTTGAAAAGACCAACAAAATAGATAATCCCTGATGAGAGTTGTCAAGAAAAAAACCAGAACACAAATTATCAGTATCATGAATAACAGAAGTTATTATCACAGTCATTTTAAAAGAATAAAGAAATGAGAAAGTTGATAACTTAGATAAAATGAACAAATTGCTTAAACAATATAAAGTTACCAAAACCATCACTAAAATGAAATAGAAAATTCTACCAAAATTTAAGGAAGAAGCAACTATCCTACAAAAACTCATTCAGAAAATAGACAAGTAGTAAATACCTCCCCAATCATTTTATGAGGCCAGGACTACCCTGATACCAAAACCAGAAAGGCATCACAAAAGAAAATCACAGACCTAATATCCTTCACAAATGCAGGTGCCAAGATCCACAAAAATCAAACTAAATCAAACCAAGTCCAGCTATATATACACACACACACACATTTATATGTATACATACACACACATAGACACACCATGACCAAGTAGAGTTCATCCCAAGAGTGCATAATTGGCTTATATTTGAAGAATCAAATATAACATTATTTCATCTTTATTATTTAAAACAGGTATGTATGACATTATTACGTGTCTAACACATAGAGAACATCAATGTACCATGATTTAGAGTACTCAGATCTTAGGTGTGCTGACCACTCGCTACATGAACAGGCACAAGTAATAACCTCTCTGTAACTTTCTTCATCCATAATGGGTATAAGGATGTTATTGATTTCCAAAGGCTGTGGTGAGAACTATGAGAATAAGAAAGTGCTTTGGTGTATAAAGACCTATACAAAAGTTAGCTTTTGAGTTCTATATGTAAAAGACATAATTTACATTTAAGATACTTTTTCAGTTGTCTGTAGCTGCATATATTGATTTACTTGGACTGTACAAGGTTCAAATGTATTAAAGAATACTGCCTGTGATTTATAAGGCTTGGTAATTTAACAGAACTATAAACAAATATAATAGCTCAAATCAGTAGTACAGAGTGTCACAGAGTTCTTGTTGTGATAGTCACATAAATACGTCATCAGCGGAGGGGATTGGGTTGAGTCTTAAAGAATGAGAGGTAAGGGGGGAACATTTTAGAAAAAAAAAATGATATGAGTGTCACAAGGATTTATTCGGGGCAAAGTGAAGAGGACAATTTGGTTATAACAACAATATATCAGCGAACATTAGTGAGTGGTTATGTGTGCCTAATATTTTACAGTCATTATTGCACTCATTTCTGACAACCTATTACCCTGATTTTGTGGTTATAAAACCAAGGACTAGAGAGGTTAAACAACTTACCCCAGGTCATATAACCAATAAGTAGCAGAGCTGAGATTTCAACCTCACTCCCCTTGACTCCCAAGCACAAACTCTTGACCAGAACAGTATTTGAGAGTACTAAGAGGAGGAAAAGAATGAAGCTGTCTTTATGAGGATGTAGTTAAAGCCTTCAAAATATATGGAATTGTCTGAAGAAAAAAAGGTATAAGGTAAGAAAGAAATGAACAGAGTTGAATGTATCTGGGATAGGAAAGTGAGAAGAAGGGATCATCAAACAAGAAGATTAGAAGAATCGAAAATGGAATGAACACCAAGAGAAAGTACAATCTTGGCTATCAGAGTAAGAGAACACTTTGAGAAAGATCAACAACACAATCACATATGCCAAGAAGGAAAAATAGTAAAGAGCTAATAAAAGATCACTAAATTTGGTAGTCATACCCATCAGACTGAGAATGGAGAGACTAAAACACTAGGAAAGGAAATAAAAAACCATATTTATATAATAAAATGACTAAAATAATGCCTAGGCTCAACAGAAAAGCAAAAGAAGAGAAGACAGTCCATAAATTCTGACAGTTTGGAGAAAAGTATGACTATACAATATAATTTATTAACAAAGGCAGGGAGCAGGGCAGACAATTAACAGAAAAAAACATACACATATATCAACAGGCTATAACAGATTTTTAGTCCTCAGGATCATTACACTCTAGGAAGTGTAATGATCCTACTTAAAAACAATTTTACATTTAAAAAGCAAGCTATTATTACCCCTCTAATTGCTGTACAGAATCCACACATTCATACACACTCCTAACCTGGTTTACTGCTTGCTTTAGTATTCTTTAAGGTAGCTGGTGGTGTTGGGAGGATCTTTGCAGGTGTATATGTATTTAAAGATACTTTTCTTCTCATTACTGGACTAGAACGTGAAGCTGTAGAGGCTGAAAAAACAAACAAACAAACATGGTAGTTCAATAATTTCCTGCCATAGTACCTTTACATTTTAGAAAGTTTCTTATGATATATTTTGTGGCCTTATGAATATACATAATAATAGGCAAGGTTTGAGGATAAATTCAGCAAATCCATCTTTCCTATACAAAGTTCTCTTACACTCTTAGCAAACAGATGTTCTGTTATTATTGTAAACAACAGACACTTAATAGTACATATTCACCAAAGGAATGTCAATAGGAATAGAGTAACCACCTTAATTTTATCCTGCCTGATAGAAACTCAGATTCTTAAGAGATGACAGAGGGCTGATGGCATAGTTTTATTGCCTAGTTACAAAGACAAAGAGTCTCAAGTTGTTTTTCTCTTAAAAATATCAAGTAGAGAATCAGGGATAGTTCATCTATAAATACAATGGTCTACCAAACTATATATTTAAGAATAAACTAACTAGATTACAAGTAATAAAGTAAATCGGATTGTCTTCCCGTATTAACCCTGCTGAGATTTATCTTCATGCAAGGGAATTTTAAAGACTTTTTTTTCCTCTTCCTAATCAAAGTAGGGAGGTTCAAAAGCATGAAAAGAAAAAGCAGGGATAATTCTTAAGTATGGAATCCTCTGGGCAGGGATATGCCCGAGTAGGGGGAGCTACTGGCATGAGCCTCTGGGTTCCTCAACAAAGGGAGACAGGGAAATAACAAAAGCCATATTAATCTACTTTTGCCATTTTGGGGGAGGATCTGATAAGCAGTAAGAAGTGTGTCTCAAAACTTATTATGGGACTCTCTTGTCCCCTCCTGGTGTGAGCTGGGAGCTCTGTCCTTTCACTGTATCTCTAAATAAAGGCCTATACCTTGCTTAAAAAAAAAAAAAAAACTTATTATGTGGGTCAATTATAGCAAATGTGCCTTAGGTGGTCGCCGCCCAGTGAATGAATATAAACTTCACTGGCAGAAGCTCAAAGAAGTCCCTAATGAAATAATAGACAACTGGTGAAAAAATCCCTAAAACATCCTACAAAGCTCTACATCATTACATAGCTTTTTCATGCTTGCCTTTTTTATTCTATTCTATTAACATCCAACTCCAACTTACCCAATTAGTATTCCTGTACCTTTTTCCCCAATATGATATTGTCAGTGCCCCACTGTAAGCTGTCTACTAGTTACTATAAAATTGATTAATTTTCTCCTTGGTGAGGGACAAAACTTTGAATGACAGTGGATTAACAATGCCTTCTTCCTTGTTATAAATACAACATCAATAGAGTTCTATATTATGATGCTAATTCCTTGAAAATTCAGCATATAAAGTATAAATAATGTAAATATACTGTGATTACTAAATATTAGTTCTGCAGTTACAGTATAAAATACAGGACTCAGATACTTCCAGCACAACTTGCACCCTATTTTCTTTAATATTTAGAAAAAAACATATACTTTAGATCAGGTGTTAGTCTTGCCTGACCACTAGTTCATTTCCTCAGAGGTGTCTTTTCTAATTTTTTTCTTTTAAATAGTAACTGTTCTCAAATGAAATCTCAAATAAAATGCACCAAAGCAGATACTCTGAAGAGCCGGGGAAGACACAAGTCCTAACCATTCACCAGCCTTCTCTTCATCTCTCGGGAATAAAATGTGAAGACCAAAATATTAGATTAACTCTAAGGTTTATACAGTTCTAAGAATTACACTGACTATATTTACTTTCTTGCCTACTTCCCTTCGTAAGGAATGGCATGAATTTTAAGAGAGCTAGAGGGACTGGTGTACAATGTACATCCACAATATAATAGATTATAGAATTTAATATCCTTCATTAATATCCCACAACAATACACTCCAATGAACTAAATTTACTAACTACACACATGAAGCCTTCATAAAATAAGAATACCACAGACTAAACATTCAGATGATTTTTTTGAAAATATTTCACCGAAATTCTTTCTAAAACAGATGTTGTTACCTTTAAGTCACTCACTGAAAATCATCTAAATTCTAAATAGCATTGATATCTACCCTAAATTCTTATTTACTAATAAGAATCTTTCCTTACTATCTATTTTAAGTTGACAAATCTCTGCCCCAGGAAAACAGTGAAACATCAAGTATAAAGAGGGGCGAAAGGGTAAATGAGAATTTATTCAGGTTCTCGACTGCACTCTGAAAAGCAGCACTGTCCATCCTAACAGCTAACAGAACATAAAAGGACACAAATATCCTTCATTTTCCTGACTCTGACATTATAGCTTGAAGTTATTTCATTTGAAGTATTACCAATTCTCAGGACATTCATATGCAAATTCTGAAATAAAAACCTACTTCCCAAAACCATTTCTAAAGTGAACTATTTTGAACACTCATACCAAGATACCTCTCCTTTACCATGAATGACTGAAATCTGACCTCTATTACTAGAGTGGAAGGAAAAGGGAAAACCAATACTGCAGAAATGCAGGAGGCACCATTTGGACAGGATACAATGTGAACAGAACTCTCTAGAATAATACAATGTGGTGGCCAGATAAGGAAAGAGAGTAATAGCAAGATATGGAAGTTGCTTTCATTCCAAGACTTCCAACTTCATCCTTAGGAGAGACAAATTTACAAAAAGGAAATGGAATAAAGAGATCTCATAGCTTTTCTAAGATACGACCAGGGCTAGCAAGCTTCTTAACTCTAAGCAGAGAACTCTCTCCCAAAACTAATGCTTCCTAAACTTGAAATTCTAACATGCCAAAGCATCCTACAGAGCTGAAAATGACAACAGCCAGCTGACTTCTCACACCTAAAAAGGTATGCTTGAACATTTTCTAAAATGATGTGCCTCAGAATAAAACTACATGATGTTTAAATGTGTTAACAAAAAGTGTCTTCTCAAAAAATAAGTTTTGGAAAATCTGGGTAAAGAGCTTTCCTTAAAGGATAACCTATTTATACATTAATATAACTATACCTCTCCAAAGAGAGAAAGATACAATTTCCAAAACTTACTTCCTTACATGAACCCTTTTTCTTTACACACAAGAATTAACCTCCTCAGGATATTTTCTGAAGAACACAATTTGGAAAACTGTTGTCCTACTTTGCTCTCTTTAGTCAAGAGCTCTTTCTGAATTAATATGACTACTTAACAAAGTGGTAAAGGGATGGGCATGTATGCACATATGTATGGGTTACTGCAGACAGATATTTTGTAATTTTTAAACAGCTTATTATAAAATGACATAAAATAGGAATGTGAAAAAAGACAATGACCCTATGTTATGTTATTGACTTCTATTGCTGGGTCTTAGATTTTTTTCCCTTTTTGTAATGAAAAAGATTTCTGGGAGGAGTCAAGAAAAGTGGTTTGTTGCATTTAACACCAAGGAATTCCAAACAATGTTCCTCATATCCCTTTCCATCCTAAAATTCCATTCATAACCACTACTTGAGTTTGTTTTTGTAGTTCTTTTATATTTACATAATATCTTCTGCCCAAAATCAAATAAAAGTAACAATTTTCCTACAAATTTCAGGAGTCTTCCGTGGAATTTCACTTGATGGAGAAGCAATCGAAGCAAGAAATTCATCCACCTGCTTTAAAGACAGGGCATTGTGAAGAGTTTCTAGGGGACAAATAGATGGCACCATGGAATACAATTCAAAGCCTGGAAAAAACAAAGAAAAAGTTGGATATTTAAAAAATCATTAATTAAAAAGGAAGAAGATGACTGCTTAGAAATGGACAGTTGAGGTCTTTTCAACCTATCACATGCAAAGACATGAGATTTCTGAAGTCATGACACCAGATGCTATGCAATAGGGGACTGGAACAAGATACGACAAGGATTTCATTTTAAAGGTAATCACATAGTACAGCATGCACACAATTTCATTCTGTATTTTGGTAAAACCTAAGAATTATACTTAAAGAAAAGAAGCTGGGTGGAGAAACAGAGAACAATACAGTGTTTCAGTTTTTACTTTTTAAAATCAGGTCTTCTTGATAAGTGAATAAATAAGTTGATGCCATGTTGTATCCCTGATGCCAATATGCAAAAGATTATTTCTTGTGAAAGACAATTATGTTATGACTTGTGAAGAGTGATTTTAAATAACTTTTCTAGTTATACAAAGGTCAACTAGTGTGACCTCCCCAAAAACAACCTTCATTCATTTATGCTGAAAATAAGATTCCAAAACATATCTCACCTACCTTGTTTGAATTAACACAATAATTCTATTGCTGGAAACTGCTAGCCAAACAGTTAGACCAAGTAAAAAGCAATACAAAATACAAACATTTGCATTGAACAATGACACAGAAATACAAAAATTTCATGAAACAAACCATGCAGATATGTATTAATACTATCAGTGAAACAAAAGCACTTAAATATACAGTTTTTTAGAAAAACAAATAGGATATATTCACTTTTATAAAAATGGCCTATTTATATAAACTTTATTCAAGTGAGTGACTTTTAAAATTGCTTTTATATGTAACTAAAACAATCAGTCTTTCTGTAGCTACTTTTTCAAAAATTCAAACTGATTTTCCTTGAAAGCAAATACTTTAATATTTAAATCAAGGTTTTACATAAAGTCTAATATTATTAGAAGTAAAAATTAATTAAACTCAGAATATAAAACTCTCTGCTTCAATAGGCATGTGCTCCTTTTAACACTGACCTATTTATTTAATTTTGGGTGGAAATGTTGACCCAAGAACTGCCTAGTTCTTAGCTGGAATAGGGAAACTTCATTGAAAGAGAATCTAATTTTCCTATGAAAATAACCAAAGGATTTACAAAACTAATATGCCTGATTTTCAAGTACAAACCAAAGCATGACAGAACACTACATATACTTAAAAAAACCCAAAACAACTATAATACCATAACATCAGCTAAGTTAAGTGCTAAAGAAATTAGGCTTGCACAAGTAGTACATTTTTTTAAAGTTTAAGATTCATGCAAATAAGCGCAAACCCTTTCTTTGCATTACACTGAACTAAGCAATCTGTTTTTTTATCCTTTCCTCAGAGCGTTTACAAGTCTTTAGTAATGACAATTTTTCTGGCATTTGCCTGCTACATTTTGTAACAAGCAAATGACAATATAATCAAGTTCCTCTGGATTATATTTTTTTCCATATTATCTTTAGTAAACTTTTCCTTTAATGCACAATGAAAGGGTTAGCACAGCAATTTAAAAAGCCACCCTGCTGTCATGTTTAGAAGCTATAAAAACATACCACTGGAGCCTAGAAATTCCACAGAGGAAATGGACCAGCACCTATAGAAGTATAGGTGTTCTGCACAGAGGCCCAGAAAATAAGGTGAAGCACTGTCAGAAGATACTTGTTTCACCATGTTCCTTGAACTAAAGATGAAGGGAGGAATAAGTCCATGATATGTGTTAAGAAGGAAATAATGTAAAAGTTAGGGGAAATAAAAAGTGAAAGAAGGAGTCAAATGACCATTCATAGGACAATAAGACAACACAATATAAAAAAAGAAAAAGAAATCTTGAAATCCCAAAAGAAATATTCTAGAATTGAAAGAATGCACTTTATATGCATTAAATCACACAATGTATGGAAATCCACATTTTTTTAAAAAGCCTAAACCAAAGGAATATAAATTACTCTATTGTCTGTTAAATTTACCAAAGGCGTTTTTTATTTTTACTTTTTTTAAGTTTAAGTAGACACAGATTTCTCCTAGATAAAACCTGGCAGTATGGGCTATAAACACATAAACATTCTGCACAAAAACTAGTTGGTCTTAAACCTGTAATGTTTCTTCTTAGAATTTTGTTACTTCTGTTTTTCATGTTACTTTGGTTTTTCTTCTAAGAGTTTCTTATCCATGTGGGTTCTTTAGAAGCTGCAGCCCTATCAAATAGAGATCTTAGTTTTCAAAAAGTAGCGCTTAAATAGCTACAATGGTGGGAAAGCACATTAAGCTTTAAGACTAAATTTTCACTTGCTGAAAATGAGATCTTACTCCACCTTCAAGAAGTAGTGACTGTCATTGAGGTATGCTGTTAAAGGATCCAGAAGGGGGAGAATGACTAGAGACTTGTGTTCAATCCTTTAGCTTCATAAGATTTTTTGAAAGACCACACTTGAGTTTTTGGAAGACTCATTTGCAGTTAATAAGAAAAAGACAGATTGTTACAGGGATAAAGTACCTTCATTTTGAATAAAAGCATTTATGTTTTCATTTACATTCTTTGATCTTGAATTATTTAAAAATGATCAGCAAATATTCTTTGTTGTCCCACAAGTACAAGCTCTGGGAAGACAGCTGTTAATAATGTGACAACTCGGTTTCTAAATATGCCACCAAACACTTTCCTATTCAGAATCAAAAAATGGATTTAATTGAATTGGCTTTCTAGATTTTTAGCTTCATCTTCTTCCCATCAAGAGTTCTCTGAATTTTAACAAAAAACAGTGGTATTAAAACGAAGTAGTTGCTTGACAACAGCACACCTCTCCGCCACAAGAGGACAAAGTGAATGCTGGAGGATGTTTTCAGAATGCTCCAAAGTCAAGTTTTGCTTTAGAGAAAGAGCCAGGGATACATGATGTCACACAGTGCAATCTGTGTTCTCCTGGTTCCTAAGAATTTTTCAAAGACACATCTCATTTGGCTTTTGCAACCGTGGCTCTGTATTTTTGTTAAATAGTTCAATAAAATATCCATGTGATTAGAAAAGAAATTAGGAAGAAAAAATATTAAAATTATTAAGAATTAAGAAGAAAATAAAGAATACTAATTGTGTTTTTAAGATGTCCAGGCTGATCACTTGAGAAATTAGAGGGAATTTTCAGGTGCTAATTTATTATTAAAACTCATCATCATGTGGTCATTTAAAAGTCTGATGAGTAGTGTTAAATTATTGTGTCAATTACGGCTGAGAAAGGTAGTTAAACAGTATCAATACTTTGGGTGCATAAGTTGGAACTGTATGCCAACTGAAATTACGAATGGAGAAATGAATGATACTGTATACCCCACATTTTGAAATAAAAGAAAAATAAAAAAGGATGAAGCAGGGGAGTATCTTTTAAAATAAAAGCAAAACGTACCATTGGTTGGGTGTCGAGCAAATGAGATAGAAAACCTTTTAACAGCAGAACCGCGTGTGGCGTCTGAGAAAGAGAAAAACAGGTACCTGAAATTCGTAACAGCTACCCAAAGAAGATACTTAAAAAAAGAGGAGAAAAACAAATATATGAGGAGGTTAGAATTAGGTGACATGCAGAAGGGACAATGAGAGAGGGTAGTAAGTCAATACTGGTTAAAAGAAGTAACATGGCTTGATGATATAGGCAAAGTGTTCAATGAAATATACAAAAGAAAGAAAAGCAGGATGAGCTGACAGTTCTGGTAAATCCATGTCTTTCTGACTAAAAGTAAATTTGTGGTTACACGAGAAAAGTTTTAAATAAAGTTAATCCTGAAAGGGTAATAATAAACGGTCGTATTAACAAAAGGGACAAGCTTCTATGAGCCTCTAAAGACATTCTGAATATTAAAACTTCAGGTATGTTAACAATAGTGAGAGGATCTCCTTTAACAAAAGATTCTAAAATATTCTCACCCTATGCTTATTTTTATAAAAATATTGCTAAAATGTTTTTTTTCTCTCTACCTACAAACATTCTGTTCTTTTAAGTTTTAGATCAGTATCAGTAAGTAAAATAAGGGTCAACAATTAAGAAGTTTCAAAGATCAAAGAAAGACCTCTTCTTTTTAGTGTGGTTGATCTAAAAGAATACACATGCAGCTTATTGAATTTCCCATTTCAACAAACTACTCATTGAATAAATACTCTAAGACTAACTACAAGTAACTGCTTGATGAAACAGACCCACGCTGTGGGTAACAGAGAGCATTGACAGTCCTTCGGGCTAAGGGTGCTAGGGTTCCTTCTGAATCAGTCAGTGGCTTAGGCTTGTCTTTGAGAAATGCGTATGTGCTTGGGTGTGTGCGTGGGTGTAGGTATGAATCTGTGCGCATGTGCACATACCATCTATGCAGCCAGAAGAGGTCAGCTTTTTACGATGAGTACGAGCATAATCCTGTAGGTTAGGTGCGCTTGAAGAACCCCCGAGCACTGAGGTGCTAAACAGGCCCGCACAGTGAGACCCTGATGGGAGTTAGAGAAAATACATACAACAACGGGTGTTCTTCCATTCACATGGGGAAGTCATGCAGCATGCAATAACATGGCTCTTACCACACATATCTGGCAGTGCCTTGAAAAGGCTCAAAATTTACTTGTAATGTCAATTTTAACATAATAACCACTATATTTATCATATGTACAAACGGGATATTTAATCCTGGACAGAATGTCTTTGAGGAAAATAATATGCCCACACAATAGTTATACATATTAAAATTATTAAAAATCACTACCATAAAAATTGAGGATGATAAAGAATTCTGTCAACCAATTTGCACTAGCAGGACACATAAAAGAACCTCTCCTCACACAAATTAAGTCATAGTAAATCAAAATTTTTGAATGCATGCCTATAAATGAATCTTTTCTGATGCTCCTTAATTAAGAATTACCAATGTTTGATAAGAAATAAGGCAACAAAGCTCTCTTATTTGTGAGAAGACCAGGTGAAAACAATTCCTTTTAGGTCATTCAAGCCCAAATCGCTTTTTATTTCTAATACTTAAGTACTTAAGATTTTAATTAATAAGATTCCAATGAAACACATTATTAGAAAATAAAACACATCTAGTATAAAACTGATGCTTAATTTGCAGCAGAAGTCTTTACATTGAAGTAAAACTTTCACCACTGTGTAAAGAATAATTAAATTCTATCAAATATATCATGATACATAAAGGAAGGTTTTATTTATATATACATATATATTCACACACACACAGTTCAGAAATAGTAAAAGCTATCAACATAAGCTGTATGTTATTACCTAAATCAAGTATTTAGGCCTCAATGACAGTTCATATACTTAGTATAGGGATCACAGTACGTACATAGTTGAAACCTATAATGAAATCTGTTTATGCTTTTATTAAACCTAAGACAACTATTTGAAGAAAATATGCTATTACCTCACATAGTTTATTAACAATGAGTCTGAAAGCCAGTACGTCTAGAAAGGTCTTTTTCAATGTTGTTTTGCTGAGCTTAGCAAAGAACCAATTACATTCCATAGTTCAAAGAGTAACACTGCCCCCGTGCATTAGTTTTGCTTTGGTTTCCTTAAGAGGTGACCAAAAGTAAAATTAATATACCGATAGGGTTTAAAACACTCCCCACTTACAATTTTTTAAATCAGAAAAGTAGAAGGATTTTTTTGCATGCAGTGGCATATTTTCATTTTTACCTGGTGGGAAAAATGAGGTTTCCTTCCTAAATTAAAACATGTTGGGATTTTAACTTATAGAATACAAGATTAAAACTTAGCATTGACAATTGGACTAAAGAATTTACATCGTGGGCATTCAAAAGGTTTATAAAGCAAAATTAAGTGCTACTTCTTGTTCATTTTAATCAGATTTTTACTGTATATTCTGCGTCGTCCAACTCAACATTTCTTTATTAATGTATGTTAAATAAAAACTAAAGCATAGCATTTGGTCATGCTTTCACCACTGAAGAGTGTGTGCAAAATAGTGAGTTTAAGAAGGTTTGGAATACAGTTTCCTTCAGACCACATACCTACAGTAGGGTTCTGCTTCTGCTCCACAAGAGTTCTTGGTGTTCGCAGGTAATTAGCATTTTCAGACACAACCTGCACAAGGAAAGCAAAATAAATGAGGTAAAACAGTAAAATAAATGCAAAAGTCCATACTTCATTTGCAGCCTGTTCCAGACAGACAAAGGTTAATAAGCTGTATGATAAATATTAGTACAAATACATAAAACATGAAAGATCATGCAAGATCCCCTTCTGAAGGGAGTCCATTTCATATGAGGTCCTTGCCATGAAGTGGTGCGAAGCAGGCATTCAGAATGAAATACCATGTATGAAATAAGACAGATGAAAAGAAACAATTAATAGACTGATATAATTTTACTCTCTCTTAAAAGAAGCCAAATGCCCACTTTTAAACAGCTCCTGTATTTGAAGGGGGAAAAAACAATCACGACAAAAGAAAAGACAGACAGAGACTGTTGAGGTCACCATACAATTACTGATCCATGCACGGGCTTTATCAGAGTAACCTTTAATTATTCACAGCCTTAATGGATACCATAATCCCTTTTCCTATAATCAAATGCATCGTATTTCCAAAAGGAAATTGCTGAAATTCTCGGAAAAGTCACGTGTAATAGCAGACCTTCCATTGTAAAAATAAAACTGTAGTATTTTATTGCCAAATGTCATCACAGAAAGTCCTTCTGAAGTTATTTTGTTTTGATCCATAATATTGATAGGCATAATACATTGTCCCCTCTTATTTTAAAGAGAACATTAAAATATTATACAGCTCAAAATAAAAACATACTGTGTCTATTTCTTAAATTTGATAACTTCAAGATAATTGAACAGCGAGGGCAAGAATGATCAGTATTAGATGTATCCTGCTAATTAACACAGGGCCACATAAATCTCAGTATTTAAAAAAATTTTTCACATTCTCAGAAAATCCAAAATGAAGTCTACTTTTTCAATTATGGGGAAAATGTTATTAAATTTTCTTACATCAAATTACATAATTCTGAAGGTTTTAAAGGACAACTAAGTCAAAAGAAAGATTTAAAAAAAAATTTTTTTATTAACAAGCCAAAGTTCCAGGACTGTAAAAATGTATTGATTAATTTTTAAATCCTGGATATTTAAAACCCTCTCAGTAAAAATGCTGAACACATACAATGTAAGTGGTTTCTTTCCCTCAAATATTGTCAGACATCACAAGCATTTTTAAATGAACTCAAAATGAAAAAAAACAGAAGGATTTACTCTGATGTAAAATATAAGGGATTAGATGTCCTCAAAGGTAGCTGTTTGTTGCTCTGAATGCAGGGAGAAAAATGTTTAATGAAGTAAAGTTTAAAAACCTGTTGCCATGAGCCAAAAATACTGGATGTGAAAGCCAATGATTTGGGGGAGACAGGGGAAGAAGTGATTTGTTCCCCTGATCTGCGTCTTCGACGCCCAGTACCCACACCACTGGTATAATGCAGCCAGGTACCAGTACCCTCTGGGCTAGACACACTCAGGGGGCTCTCTTCCTGGAAGTGAGAAAGGGGGAAAAAAAAAAAAAAAAAAAAGCAGAGCATGCAAAGTTAGATACAACAGAGCCAAATGATCAGAAAGAAAAAAAAATACAGTTTGTTTGCATTTGCTTATCAATTTTAAGAAAACTATTAAACAGTAATTTGGGAGCCAAATATTTCAATATTTGAGAAATTGATAAAAATGATTTATAAATCTAATTGTATATGAAAACAACTATAAGAATTACCTTATTAACTTAAATATATGAAATATTTATACTGCTTAATAGTTGTCCCTTCCCTTTTAAAACTAGAAAGATTTTAACAATTTTCTATCTTAGCAATTTTTAAAATATGAAGGTATTCTGCTTAAATTTAGATATTCAAGAAGTTTTGTGCTATATCTGGTAAACATTTCAACCCAAAGCACTAAAGAATCATGCGAAGGGTTTAAGAGATTTCAGTGTACATTATGTAGAAAAGAAAATCTGTCTGCCAGACATAAAAAAAGGAGATCATATGATAGTCAAATTGTACTTGTTTACATTTTCAAGGTATCTATTTGTTTACTCCCTCTAAAGATTCTTTATAGAATTCAGTAGGCAAAACATGCAGCAAACATTTTCATTTTACATGTTTGCATGTTCAGGTTTCAGACAGTGAGGACAGAGTAAAATCTACTTGCACAAAATGAAGAGAATAGTCTTTTTCTCTGTGTGTCTTTTGGAAGTACAAACTTCTGATATCCATGAAGATGGTGGACGCTGGAAAAAGTCTTCAAGGTTTTACTTGAACAATTTACCTTGTAGAAGTAAAAGTTTAGCATGGCAAAGATAATCTCTTGAAAGCAACTATTTAAGTATTTATTAGAAAAACGTTTATAAATGTGTTCTGCATTTTAAGAGTTAATGAAGGGCAGTGATTTTGTTGAAGATTTTATGAATACAGATGAACTACAAAAATGAAGATGCACAATACATTTATTTGGCTGTATCACCGTTATAGGGTTTTTTGGAATACAGAAGGTTTAATGGTGAAATTGTGAAAAATCTTATGAATTGCAAACCGCTTTGTTCAACATCATCAAAATCACAGCCCTCAGTTTAGGTGGTACTAATATGTCATTTCTCAATTTTCTGAAATTAAAGATACCTGAACATAACTCCAGGCTTCTCACTTTTAAATTAAGCTATAATAGAGCAAATGATATCCAACTCTACAATTTTAATCATCCTCTTTTATAATTAACTTAAAGAACCACACTTTTATAATTACCTCAAAACCATAACTAGTATACAATTTCTATTATAAAATTACAACAATCTTATTGTATGTTTTTAGATTGATGGATGTTTTTCTTATACATAATTGTCAAACTGGGGCACATATATATTTGAAATTTGAGAATCATAAAGCACTATGTTTATATAATTTGGGGCTATAGAAATGAGCATAATTCTTTTTTGTTGCTATTTATATTCTTATTCACAAATAGCTAGATAATGTTATACATAATTCTTAAGAGTTGGCATACTTAATTATCAACAAAAAATTTATTTCTAATGAAAATGTTGCTGGTTGTTTGTAAAAGTTAATTTCTTGCTTTATACTTTTAAACATTTAGAAAACATTTATAAGCACTATCAGAACTGAGAGAATCATCCTATAGGGAATATAGATAACCCCAAATAAAATTATTTAAAATATAAAAATGTATATAGATGTTAAAGATTTACTTAACAAGCTGCATTCTAACTATTCAACTTTTTCAACTTTCCTTTTAAATATTGTTTTAGGAGTAATTAAAATGCTATTTTTTTAGGAACATAAGAATTAGCCTAAGTTACTTAACTGTTGATCTTAATACAAAGGTAAGGTTTTCGGTTTTCAACTGTATCATCAAGTTTTCCAATTCCTATACTGATTTTTGCAATCAGGCTAACAATTCAGAATTTCATGTTTTAATCTACATGCATTGGAATCAGTTGTGGCTAACACATTTCCAGCAATTCCCCTCTACTTTTAACCAAAAATTATTCCCGATCCATTAAATCAGGCTTAAAAAAAAAAAAAAGTTCTCTGTTAGAAAAACTAAAGTGATAGGACAAAAAAACCAAAAAACAAAAATGGATCAATTTTTAGAAAGGCCTTATTTTACTTCTATTCAACTTTGTTATGAAAACTATACATAAAGCCTCAAATTCTAAAATTAATTTTTATCTTTTCTAACTGCCTCTAAAATAAAAAAAAATATCATTTGAAGTAATACAATTGACAACTAAAAATGTTAGGTTCCCAAGCTCCATATTTAAAGCTGTATTTTCTTTTCTGTTTTACTAAAATATAGTTAGTTTACTTTATGAAAAACATGCTCTGACAAATACACTCACTTCGTTTGTAGCCATCTTTCTAGATCTGGGAAGTGGAGACTTCCTGTGTATATGAATTGGCTCTGACACCATAGGTTTGAACAAAATCACAGCTCGATCAGTCTCATCCTTTTTAGAAGCATGTGGCTCATCATCACCATCAATTTTAAAAGATCTCCTGCCTTCACTCTGAGGGCAAAAATACAATATATAAAATTCAGACTAAACAACAGTATCTTCGATGAACAAGTTCAACCAATTCATATAGTCAACTGAAGTACATATATAATATACAGAAGTCTGATTATTTACGTGAATTAAAATTAACTGAATTCTTACAACAGTGTAGTATTATTGTGGGTATTGTAAGACAGATGACAGAGTTTCCAACTTCAAGAAATACGTATCTCTTGAAGAGAAATTAAATAATAAAATGACAATGAAAAGGCATATAAAACAAAGGGTTTAATTAAATTTCATCAAATGCCCAAATAAGCAATAGTAGCAGACAGTAAGAAAGAGTATATATGAGTTCTGATATACAGCAATGTTATCAACCTGAGCACAAACTAAAACTGCATCTGAATTTATAAATTTCAGAATATTTAAATTATATTTCAAGTATTTCCAACAAATGTGATGATTGCATACATAATAACCACCATTCACTGACTCACTAAATGTTTACTAGGTTTTTACCATAAACCAGGACATGGATGATTAAGATACAGTCCTAGACAGGAGATAGACAGATTATAAAATTTTATATCAAACATCCGTCTATAAAAGCATGGGTAAATGGAGGCACAGTCATATATTAAACACATTTTAAAGAAATAAGAATGGGCAAACTAAAACTAAATACAATTATATCAACGAATCTCACAAACATAACATTAGCGAAAAGAAGCCAAGCAGAACTACATAAAAACCTTCATCAAACTAAGGGGTTTAGCAAATAAAGAACTTCTTTAACTAGATGATGGGTATCTAAAAACTTGAAACAATCATTATAGTTACTAAAAAACCACTGAAAGACAAGAGTGTCCACCATCACTAATATATTCAACATTTTACCGGACATTTGTCATCATTCAGAGATATGATCATATACATAGAAAATACAAATGACTATATATTGATAAATTATTAGAATGAGTAACAACATGTAGTAAGGTTGCTAGTTATAAAATCTTCATACAAAAGTGAGTTAACATTCAGTATGACATAACAAACAAAATGAAATGAAAATAAGCCATTTATCATAGCATAAAAAATATAAAGAATTTGAGAATTAATCTGACAAAGAAGGTACAATACATAAAAAAATCTTAATTTTATCAAAAAGAAACAAGGACTAGCTAAAAATATCAGAGATATATCAAGTCCTAAGACTAGAAGATCCAATACTGTGTAAGTGTTGTTTTTCTCCAAATTAATCTGTAGAGTTTATGTAATCTCAATCACAATTCAAAAAAGTTCTCTTTGGAACATTACCTTTTGCTTTAGTTTAAGAGTGAGTAAGGATGCTTAGTATCAACACTTCTATCCAACACTGTATTGGCCTAGCCAGTCGCACTTCATAAAAAAGGCGAATCCAAATGGCCAGTAAACACATGAGAAGGTGCTGATCCTTACTGGTCATGAGGATAATGTAAATTTAAAATACGACAGGATATCACTAGATACCTCCTAAAATACAATGTCAACATTGATCATACCAAGTGCTGACAAGAATATGGGAGGTATCTTTAGAAAATTATTTATATTTTCTAAAGTTGAACATATGCACATATGTTCACTAGACGTGTATAAGAATGTTCATAAAAGCTTTAACATCACAGCCTGACTATAAACAAGAGAAATGAACATAGTGGAATAGATTAACACACTGTACTGTGTTTATTTAATGGAATCCCACATGGCAAAAAAAATAAAGAACAGAATGGCTGAATGTCACAAACATAAAAAAAGAAGCCAAACTCACTCTATATCCCCAAAAAAGCATGTTATTTTGTGGTTTCATTTATACAAAGGTCAAAATTAGGCAAAGTTAATCTATGGTGCTAGAAGTCATGATAGTAGGTATCTCTGGGGAGAAAACGGAGAGATTATGATATTGAGGGGACATAACTGGGTCTTCTGGAATGATGATATTGTTCTATGACCTGGCTGGTTGTTTAATAATTGTGTTCACTTTGTGATATATCATTAAGCTATGATTTAGTACTTCTATCAATGTTATAATTTAGTAAAAAAGTTTTAAACTAAGCACATATTTAGTTCTGTAAAGTTATTGTAAGGATTAAATTGGGATAATTCATGCCAAGTGCTTAGCACAGTGTTTAGCATGCACTTGTCTGCAGCTAACCAAAACCAAAAACTATTGTTATCCACTCCAAATACTGATCTTAAAAATCCACAAAAAATTCTAAATTAAAGATAAAATTCTAATAGGCCCAAAATGTTGTCTACCCAAATCACATATAAAGAAATTTAAACCATTTTGCTACTTAGTAGCTAAGATTTATGGTACACAATAGACAATCCTTCTGGAAACCTCATGAAAATCTAGAATTGTAGTAATCAGGCAATGAGAATTTCATCTTCATTACCTCTCTTGAAGCTGGCCTATATCCATAGCCAGATGGTAAATTTTTGTCTTCTTCACATCCTTTGGCTCCTGGACTAAAGTGCAATTCAACATGAAAGCGTTCTTCTGAGGAAAGATCCTAAAAAATATTATAAAACATTTTCAAAATGAGACACTTCAAGCTTTTTTTTTTTTTTTTACTTCTGGTAACGCACACAAATCAAGAACTCTGTTACCTTGTTAGGATCTTCATAAAGCATGATAACAATCTGAGTCATGTAATTAAGTTCATTGACAACATTTAAATAATCCATAGCTCGTTTCCACTGTTCATCCTTTGATTCCTGAAAAGGCACATGGTAAGCATTTGTCACACTGCATTACTTGAAAGTCATTTTATTTTCCTTATGGTAGTTTGTTTAATCCTGAGTGATATTACACAAATAAGGTAAGGTAAATACTGATAAGAATGATCTTTCAAAATTACTATGTTTAAGTCTCAGTAAATTACTTCAGCTTAAGTAAGTTATTTTAAAAGTTTCTTACTAGTAGTATTAGAAACTCTTGTGGTGACTTTTTTTTAATAGCTTACAGAAAGTAAAATAATCTCCTGAAATATGATACCCATTGTTGAATTCTGAGGATAAGGAGCAGCTGTTAATGTTAAGTCCCAGAGTACTAGTATAGTATCATGCTTCATAAACAGAATACTATTCTATTAGACTAGTGCTATTTTTTTCCCACCATCATAGATATAATACATACCTATTAGTAAATATCCCTCATTACAATGCAGTAATATTTTAAAACAATCAGCAGGCATATGCAGATTCTATGAATCTTATAATTTCCTTCACCGTTCCTTCACCTTCATTCAGACCATCATGGGTCTTTAGAAACATGTAATCATAGAGCATCAGAACTGAAAAGGATCTTAGGGAACATTTACTACAAGCATTCGAAGTAGAAAATTCTATCTGAAAATGTAAAACTACTCAAAATACAAAGTCTATAGTCAAAAGACAACAGAGCCTACTTAGACCCTATATCCATAATAGATAATTTTCCTTCATCTCATATGTATCGTAAACATCACAAATACATAAAAGTATCCCATATGTTTGTATATAGTAAGAGTATCCAATATTTTGGACTTAAATATATAAAATGCACCTTGTTTTAAAAAATAAAATGATACACAAAAGCCCAAACTTACAAGGCCACATGCTAATCGCTTGTTTTTTAAAAAATGCAGCATATATTCCCTTTTTAAGTTTGGACATTATATATGCCCTGAGGAAGTATCCTCTTTTTAAGTCTTTGGAAGAGTATAGTTAAATTAACACCATGTAATTTTTGTAATTATTCTTAGCTTCATTTTAACAAATGGCTACTCACACCTCTAAATGCACTGATGCCAAGCCATCTGAGCAGTCGACATCTCATTTGTACATTATTACTTCTATTACCAATCCCTAAAGTGTCATTTTCTTTATCTTTTCAAACACAAACTCTCTGGGAATCGAATCAAAAGCACTGCCTCAGCTGTCATTCATGTGTTGGCTTCCCCATTCCACCCCTTTAGCCCAAACCTCTGTCTTCACAAACATACTATTGGTCATCTTCATGTGACTGGCCTACTAGTTCCTCAAACTCAAGCTGTCTAAAACTACTCATTACTTCCCTTCCAATACTTGATCTTCCCCCAACATGTTCCTTATCCCAATGAATGGTAGGGTCATCTAACAATTGCCCCCATTAGAAATATGGGAATCTTTCCCCGACTTCCTTTTCTTTCTCACTCCCCATAAGCATTGGAAGGGCCTCAGGGGAGCATTAGTGAAATGCAGAAGGGACTGAGGAGGTTGTCGGTGAGGGATTACAGGAAGAGAAGGGAAATATTATTGGAAGCCATAGGAAAAAGAACCCTTCCTCTGTAGTGGCATAAAGTGCTGAAACACTGTAACCTAGAGATAGCAAAATAGGAGCTGTATCTAATGAACCCAATGAGCTAGCTATGGAGATTTCCAGGAAAAAATTCTTCTCACATAGGACAGAGATAAGCTACAGGGAAACTGCTAATTATAAAGTGCCAAGGCTTGGTGGGTTCAAAAATAAACTGTTTCTTATTCTCAGCCTCTCCAGAGACCAAACACTACTATAATTAAAAGGTGGCTTCTAGGAAGAAAGGAAGCATAGGGATCTCTTCTGGATGTGCTTATAAAATCACCTGCCAGGACCTTAGAAAGATTTAGGGAGGTGCTTCATGGACTTTTCAAAGACATAAAAGACTTCTTCAGGACCTTAGGGTATGTCTCTCAGATGCACAGCATTAAGCAGTAAAGACTGTTGAGTCCTGTCCCTCCACAGGCACACAGAGAGGCCAGTGGAGAAAAAGGCTTTTCCTTAAGGGATTTGTAGATAAGATTTGTTTAATGAATTAGATTATAAATTATTCCTTTTTAAACAACACTATCTTGAACTAAAAATAAATAGACCTATGGATCTCTAAACTGCTTCGGGCAGGAAGCAGGTTAAAGAAAACAACTCAGCTGCAGACATGAGCAGCTTCTTATGGAAAAGGAAGGGTGACCCCAATGAAGCGATCAAGAACCCAAAGTGTGAAGCCGTGAACCACTACAAACGACTCCCTGGAGGTGGGACAGAGCCCTGATTAAGGAACGGGCAACAGACACCTAGGCAGATTTCAAAATTTCTAGTGACTAGTAACTGTGGTGTAAGTTCTGATTCCCCCTTTTGAAAAGGTTACATACAGCAGTTATCCTATGCCTATCCCATCACTGTATTTTGGGCGTTTGAAAGACAGAAAATCGGTCTCTTTAGTTCACAGATCTCTGAATTGAGACTGAGTAGTTTTAAGCACTCAAAGAGCTGTGCCCAAGGTGTGCCATCCACACCTGGACCTCATGTAGATAATAAGATCCTGGACGTCAAGTTTATGCTGTAATTGTATAAGACTGGGGGAATATTAGTGGAGAGGGAAGTGAATTTTGCATGTGGAAGAAATGTGCATTGTTGGCCAATAGATATACTGTGATAGATTCTATTTTTCAAAGATGGCCACCATCATATATCCAATCCTAAGTACTTACCTTATAATGTGACAGTGACACTCTGCTCATCTAATAATGTGGGTCTATTCCTCTTCCCCTTGAACCTGGGTGGACTTCTGTTACTGCCCCAACTAATAAAGCCAGCAGAAGCAATGTGATGTGACTCCTTAAGTTAGGTCATAAAAATGCCTTGTTCTAGCACTGTGTTCCCTTAGGAAGCTCACTCTTGGAACTCAGCTGTCATGTCATGAAGAAGTGATTACAAGAAGCCAGATGCAGGTATCTTGGTCAACAACCCCAGTGAGGTCCTAGCTGACTTGACAGCGAGTATGAAGCATCAGACATGAGAAAGAAGCTGAGATGATTCAAGGCCCAGCCACTGTCTAACTGCCACCTCATGAGACCCAAACTGCCTAAGTGATCACAGCCATAATAAAATGTAATTAAGCTGTAATTTAAGCTGTGAGTGATAAAAGTAAATAATAAAATAATAGAAATTAAAATAAAAGAATAAAACAACTGTGGTAAAGTAAATAAACTTTGGTCTGATTCACTACTAACAGTATTAAAGAGGCACAATGCCCACCCAAACACCAAATCCTTTCTAACCCCTAAATAAGTCAAATTCATTGGCTTCTCTCTACCTCACTACCACCAGCCTATAACATCACATAAAATATTTTCTATCCTTATTTGCTTAAATGGATCTTCTCTGAAGGAAAGAGTACATGTCTTTATTTCCAACATCTAGCACAGTGCTTGATACACAGTAGACCCTGGACAAATGATAGTAAATGATGAATTATTAAAATTTCACAGTAAAAACTGGTGTGATCTGATTAAATACAAGGAAACATTTGTTAAGTAGATTGGAATGACTTATTCTACTTACATTGCATAAGGCACCATAGCGAAGAATGGATAGTAGAGAATGCACATGACTTTCACTAGTGAAATATAATCTGGTACGGACATGACGTTCAGGAGACAGAACACCTCTGGAATACCTAAATGAGAAGTAGGCAGTGTTAAAACGTAACCATATAGTAAAAACTTAATAAGTACTGAAATTATTTTAAATTGCAATTCAATCTTATTATAAGTAAAAGACAGCAATCAGGTAAACTTATTACTCTTCCAACCACAACTGAGGAGTTATCTTAGTAGATATTCCTCTAACATAAAGATAACTAACTGGGATGTCTGAGATTAGTCAAAGAACAGCTAATAGTCAAGTTCACTGAAAACAGGTCATTTTAGCTCCTCTACTAGCATAGCGCTAAAGAAGCTCACAGATGTTTATGCTCCTGAATGCGGTGCACACTGATGATCCCATGTAAATGATGACACTATTCCCCTTTCCCTGTTCACCTCAAGTTTTTTTTCCCAAATTGGAAACATAAAGAACCTTGGTTGGAAGTTAACTATTAGGAATACTGAGGTAATCCTTAGTTCCACAGTGCATCAAGTAACGCACTACTGATTTCTTCATAAGAACATTAAAATGTAATTCAGATTCGGAGTATGAAAAAATAGATGCCTGTAGATTTAAATAGCAGTAGTCTCTTACACAGGATGGAGTTTATTTACAGTGTCATCATCTTGTGTCCTCTGAAGGTCTGAGCGGATCTTTCTGACTAGAGGAGTGCAGTACCCTTTTGCAATCTCCAGTTTTTCAGCTTTAGTTATACCATATTCCTAAGCAGAAAATACATATCAGAAAAAGGGTGTAATGACAAAGAGCTCTAACAAATGCACTGCTAAGTTAAAGAATTCTAGTGAGGGAGAAATAGCTTAACTAAGCCTTTTTTGAACATTATACAACTCGTAGTCTACATTTTTGGAACTGCAATGTATTCCCAAAACTGTTAAGTATAATTGGAAGGATTACTTTTTGGGTGAAATTGAAAAAACACGTAATTTCTGAAGAGTGGAGGATGAATGGATAAACGAAACCTTAATAAATAGTAGTTCAAATCAATCGGAAGGTTTTAAATGTAGAAACAACCCGACGTGTAAAATGTTGAAAAGAAAGATTGGTGGAGGACACAAACACTAAAGCACAGAATGTCAGTAAATATAGGCAAAGAAATATATATTGAAACCATGCGGTTTTGGTTTATTCTACTATCAAAGATTAAACAGGCTAACATTATTTAAAAGTCCTTGGTCAATACTTTTAAAGTTTTAATTAGCGGCGAGCAAAAGCTACCATGAAATTATTAAATTTAATGATGTCTATAATCATGATGAGTAAATTTATAATGAGGAATTAGAATCTGAAATGTTAAGAGAACAAAGAAATTGTGGTAATTGTAATACAAACTATAGTTCAAAGGGTGTATTAGAAAATGACCTGATATGAGAAGATGTGTGTGTGCAGACAGAAAGAGATGGGGGCAAAGAAAGAGAGCAGAAAGTAGAGTGCAGGGGGCCACACAGAGGGAAAGAAGGGAGAGGAGAGAGGAAAGAATTAGGCATACCCTCGCTAAGGTCATTCTGGAATACCTCGGTTTAAAGGCTACTTCTGGTATCATATACTTCTGGATGGTAAAGCATCAGCATGGATAATGGATCTCAAAACTACATAATAAAGAAAAGACTGACTGCTTACAGACATAAGACCTATGAAAAATGGAACTTCTTAGGATCATTTACCTTAACCTAAAGCTAGGTTGGTTTATCTTACCAATATAGTTTACTATGAATTGGGTATGAGAAAGTGATATATATGTATTTGTGTTATGTATATGTAAACAAAAGGAAAATGTTCAAATTAAAAATCATTATGGGAATTCTTCAGATGTTATTTAGTGAGGTGTGAGGACACCAGCATTCCCATACACTGGCCATCGGCAAGAAAACTGGTAAAAGATTTCTGGCACTATGGAAACAATCTAGAGTTCATGTAAAGAATGAAAAAAATTAAAGGAATCCAGATTTCCAAATATGAGAAAATGGTTAAGTAAATTATTATTACATCATACCATTCAGCCATTAGGAATAATCTCAATGTAGCTTTACTAATATGGAAAAATTTACTGATGCTAAGTGAAGGGAAAAAAATCAGGTTGTAGCATAGTATTCCTTGTCCCATTTTTGCAAAGAATACACTTGCTATACATATGAATTTATGAGAAAAATTATATCTGCATGAATTTGAAGGACAAGGCCTTCAGGAACTTTTTCCAAAACTCTGAAATGTTTTTCACTAGTTGATAATGTCATACTGATTTTTTTGCTATATTTACATTTTCTAATTTTACAAGAAAGATATACTACTTTTTTAATAAAGAAATCTTTCGGGATTAAAGATGGTGGCATGAGAGGTGAGACAGAGGCTTCCTCCTAAAACCGCACATAATATGAAAATATAATTAATACAACTAATCCTGGGAAAGAGGACTGCACCAGACTGCATACTCCTGGAGAAAAGAGCAGACCTCATGGAACAGGGTAACGTACCAAAGCTATTGCCCAGCAAGACCCAACCCCTTCCCACACCCCAGCTCACCAGCGGGAGGAAGAGAAACTAAGTAGGGAGAGAGTGGAGGCCTGGGACTGCTGAACACCTAACTCCGGAGATCTGTTCTGGGAGCACAAACTTACATTTCATAGTGCTTTCATGATACTCTCGTGATTACGGGGTTGGAAAACTAACACAGGCAGAATTCCTGGAGAGACTAAGATTCCAGCCACTTGTGGAAAGCAGGGATCCATATCCCGCTGCTCTGGGACAAAAGCTTATACCTGTGTGCTCAGCCCACTGGTTCAGGCAGAGGAGACAGGTATAGCAGCCGGGAAGCAGGAAACAGCACTTTCCTCCCCTCAGGCACCAATCCCACTTCCCTGTGACCCCTGATATTGCTTCAGGGGCTGAGGAGCTCCAGAGAGTAGAGGTTTTGGACACTAGAAGGTGCCATACACAAATATGAAATGCCAAAGGAACCTGGTCCAGAGTAAAATTAATATAACTCCTGAGAAAAATGACATGGACCTCATTACTCTTCCTGAAAGGGAGTTCAAAATAAAAATCATCAACATGCTATGGAGGTATAGAAAGATATTCAAGAACTCAGGAATGAATTCCGGTTGGAGATCCAATCATTGAAGAGCACAATGGAGGGTATTAAAAGCAGGTTGGATATGGTGGAGGAGACAATAAATGAAATAGAAACTAGAGAAGAGGAATACAAAGAAGCTGAGGCACAGAGAGAAAAAAGGATCTCTAAGAATGAAAGAATATTGAGAGAACTGTGTGACCTCAATCCAAACAGAACAATATTCGCATTATAGGGGTACCAGAAGAAGAAGAGAGAAGAGGATAGGAAGTGTCTTTGAGGAGGTAATTGCTGAAAACTTCCCCAATCTGAGGAAGGAGATAGTCTCTCAGACCATGGGGATCCACAGATCTACCAACACAAGGGACCCAAGGAAGACAACACCAAGACATATAGTAATTAAAATGGCAAAGATCAAGGATAAGGACAGACTGTTAAAAGTAGCCAGAGGCAGAAATAAGATCACATACAAAGAAAAGCCCATCAGGCTAACATCAGACTTCTCAGCAGAAACCTTACAGGCCAGAAGGGAGTGGCATGATGTATTAAATGCCATGAAGCAGAAGGGCCTGGAACCAAGATTACTTTATCCAGCAAGATTATCATTTAAATTTGAAGGAGGGATTAAACAATTTCCAGATAAGCAAAAGCTGAGAGAATTTATCTCCCACAAACCATCTTTACAGTCTATTTTGGAGGGACTGCTATAGATGGAAGTGTTCCTAAGGTCGAATAATTGTCACCAGAGGTAATAAAACCACAGTAAAGGAAGTAGAACAGCTAATTACTAAGCAAATGCAAAATTAAATTAACTATCCCCAAAGTCAATCAAGGGATAGACAAAGAGTACAGAATATGATACCTAATATATAAAGAATGGAGGAGGAAGAAAAAGGAGGAGAAAAAGAAAAGAACCCTTAGATTATGCTTGTAATAGCATATTAAGTGAGTTAAGTTACACTCTTAGATAGTAAGCAAGTTAACCTTGAAATTTTGATAACCACGAATCTAAAGTCTGCAATGGCAAGAAGTACATGCCTATCGATAATTACCATAAATGTAAATGGACTGAATGCACGAATCAAAAGACACAGACTTACAGAATGGATAAAAACACAAGATGCGTCTCTATGCTGCCAACAAGAGACTCACTTTAAACCCAAAGATATACACAGACTAAAATTGAAGGGATGGAAAAATATATTTCATGCAACTAACAGAGAAAAAATCAAGAGTTGCAGTACTTATATCAGACAAAATAGACTTCAAAACAAAGTCACAAGAGACAAAGAAGGACATTACATAATGATAAAGGGGTCAATCCAACAAGAAGATATAACCATTATAAATATCTATGCTCCCAACATAGGAGCACCTAAATATGTGAAACAAATACTAACTGAATTAAAAGGGGAAATGGAGTACAATGCATTCATTCTAGGAGACTTCAGCACTCCACTCCCTCCAAAGGACAGATCAACCAGACAGAAAATAAGTAAGGAGACAGAGGCACTGAATAACACATTAGAACAGATGGACCTAACAGACATCTACAGAACTCCACACCCAAAAGCAGCAGAATACACATTCTTGTGAAGTGCACATGGAACATTGTCAAGAATAGATCACATACTAGATCACAAAAAGAGCCCTTTAAATTCAAAGACTGAAATTGTACCAACCAGTCTCTCAGACCACAAAGGTATGAAACAACAAATAAATTATGCAAAGAAAATGAAAACTCCCACAAAGACATGGAGGCTTCACAACATGCTCCTACATAACCAATGGATCAATGGCCAAATAAAAACAGAGATCAAGCAATACATGGAGAAAAATGACAATAATAATTCAACACTGCAAAATCTGTGGTACGCAGCCAAGGCCATGCTAAGAGGAAACTATACTGCAATACAGGTCTACCTAAGGAAAGAAGAACAATCCCATTTAAGCAGTCTAAACTCACAGTTAATGAAACTAGAAAAAGAAGAACAAATGATGCCTGAAGTCAGTAGAAGGAGGAAGATAATAAAGATTAGAGCAGAAATAAATAATATCGAGAAGAATAAAACAATAGAAAGAATCAATTAAAGCAAAGCTGGTTCTTTGAGAAAATAAACAAAATAGATAAACCCATAGCCAAACTTATCAAGAAAAAAAGAGTCTACACACATAACAGAATCAGAAATGAGAAAGGAAAATCACTACGGAAACACAGAAATGCAAATAATTATTAGAGAATACTAAGAAAAAGTATATGCTAACAAACTGGATAACCTAGAAGAAATGGACAACTTTCTAGAAAAATACAACCTTCCAAGGCTGACCCAGGAAGAAACAGAAAATCTGAACACACCAATTACCAGCAAAGAAATTTAACTGGTAATCAAAAAACTACCTAAGAACAAAACTCCTGGACCAGATGGCTTCACGATTGAATTTTATCAAACATTTAGTGAAGACCTAATACCCATCCTCCTTAAAGTTTTCCAAAGAGTAGTAGAGGGAATAGTTTCAAACTCATTCTAGGAGGCCAGCATCACTCTAATACCAAAACCAAGCAAAAACACCACAAAAAAAGAAAATTACAGACCAATATTTCTGACAAACATAGATGCAAAAATACTCAACAAAATA